CTTTTACTCAGCAGCCCTTTATGTTTTTTTTATCGATTTGTGTGTGTGTGTGTGTGTGCATGTGTGTGCACGTGTGTGCAAAGCACTAGAATAGGAGAGATTAATCAGATTAGAAATGGAGAACAGCATGTACCTGGTTCTTCAACTTATTAGACTGTAGGTATTTCTTAGCTTCTTCCAACTAACTTAAATAAGGTTATGGATATAAATGAACAAACAAGCAGAGGTTTATTATGTTTTGCTTCAGCTTGTGTTGATTCTACGGGAGCTGCATTTGGGAGGTAAAGCCTTATGCAAAGACGCATTGTAAAATATAATCATAGACCTAGACTTAAGTTAATATTTTTGATGTTTAAAACATTGGCCATTTAGACAAATTATATTCTAATTTTAAAATGATTCAGTGAGAAACTGAATGTCTATTCTGCTCAATCATACATATTTATGAAGTAAATATTGTGTACTAGGCTATAAAGCACTGGTTATTACCTTAAGCCTGTATTTTGTTTCACTTCTCTACTGTGAGGACAGCTAAACGGTGTCATTTGTACTCTCCTCTAACGTGCCTGTGTGATGCAGTGATCAGCTCAGACAATATTGGCAAGGATGAGCATGATTGGAGCAAAGGAAAAGGGCTGAGCAGCCAGGCCCCTGCCAGAGTTAATACAAAAGCGGAAGTGTGGGATATCTTACAATTGAGCTAGAAGAAATTTGTGGACTGTATTTTATTAAACATGTGGTTAAGTTCTGGATTTTTAAAAAGCACAGAACATTTCTATCCCATTTTATTCATAGGAAGAGGATATAAAATAAAGTTGATTTGAAAGCCCCTTTGGTAGTTCTGTTAGTAATTGGATTGTGGATAATGCAAGGAATTAAATCCTTAGAAATATATCTGAACTCAATATGCATAATTGCAGTAGCCCATTTGGCTGGAGTTTCTTAGCACTTCTTTAAAGTCCTATAAGAATTAGGATGGTTGAAAAAACAAAAATTCCATGTAGCATACTTGTCAAGAAATGTACTTCAGCTGGCCAAATAGCTCAGTGGATTAAAGTGCCTGCAAGCAGGTGCAGGGGCCAGGGGTTCGATCCTCAGTGTGTTGTGCCGGCCCCACCCCTGGGGTACACTGAGATGTGATTGAGACTGGCCGTGGCGGCACATACCTGTAATCCCAGCTCTTGGGAGGCTGTAAATAGGCCGATCACTATGAGTCTGATCTAGTAGTGAGACCAAACACCCTGTAGACCCTTCCCTAAAATTAAAAAAAGTACTTCATAAATTATTGTTTATATTTTGATTTACAAGACACAAAGGACTTGCACTCCACAGTAGTTGTTTACCAGATGCAGTGTGTGTTTGGGCTGAAGTAGCCTGCTTTTCTCATGCTGCCTTCTGCTATTTTAGAACTGGGGATGAGAGCTCTGATAGCAGCTGCTAGTGGAAAGAAGAAAGTTAATAAATGATTGCAAGCATTTTAGTACTGTGGAACTAGTATAAAAGTAGGCTGAACAAATAATTTAAAGAGTAAAATAAAAGACAGGTAATAGGAAACACAGAGAGAGAAAGAGAGAGAGAGAGAGAGAGAGAGAGAGAGAGAGAGAGAGAGAGACAGACAGACAGACAGACAGACAGACAGACAGACAGAGACAG